GGAAAGAGCATAATGTAAAATGACAGACATACAGATATAGGCGTAGGAAAATAAAAGAATACGATAAACTTTAACACTGTCAAGGTATTCTGAGTAAGGACATTATGGGTACAATTTTTCTTCTTCATATTTTGAAAATATTTCTACAAAATGTGTGCTTTGATTGTTAATAATAAAAAATAGGAGAGGACTTCCTTGGTGGTGCAGTGGTTAAGAATCCGCCTGCCAATGCAGGGGACATGGGTTCGACCCCTGGTCCGGGAATATCCCACATGCTGTGAGGCAACTAAGCCTGTGCGCCAAAGCTACTGAAGCCCGCACGCCTAGAGCCCATGCTCCGCCACAAGAGAAGCCACCACAATGAGAAGCCCACAAACCACAAAGAAAAGTAGCCCCCGCTTGCCACAACTAGAGAAAGCCCGCGTGCAGCAACAAAGACCCAATGCAGCCAAAAATATATGAATTAAATAAATGAATTAAAAAAAAAAGTTGGGATGGGACTTCACTGGTGGTCCAGTGGTTAAGACTCCATGCTCTCAATGCAGGGGGCATGGGTTCGATCCCTGGTCGGGGAACTAAGATCCCGCATGCCACACGGCGCGGCCAAAAAAAAAAAAAAAAAATAGGAGGGATGACTTGGTAAAAATACATTTTCTATTATTCTCACGGCATATAACCTACCCTCTTTCCTCCATCTATTTTATATTCTCCAAATTCCAATTGTTTCCAAAGCTTAAAGCTGGCATCATGCTCTCAGAATTGGATAAACATTCACACACACACATTTTTTTATCATAACTAATCAGTTGTTAATTACTTAGTTCACATGTAATGTATGTTCCCTAAGAATTAGACTAGTTTGCAAAGATGTTTTAAAGATGGAGTTATCTTTACAGATATTAAAGATATTTTACAGAGAGATATTTTCAAATTCAGACTTTGCCACAGACATACTTGGTACTTTATACTAGTTTATCTGAACGCTTTTGTGTAAAGTAAGGATAAAATGACAAGAATCTAAGGATTGTGAAGGCAATTAAGTGAAAGAATACATGTAAAATATCAACATTAGTTTCCTTAGCAAGAAGAGTGGCAAATGTAAAAATATCATGAACCATAAATAGTTAATTACAAGTTGTTACTAAGTTGACTTTGCATGGTCAATTCTTGAAAATATTGAGTGAAAAAAAAGATTAATTGCTCATACATGTTAAAAAATACAACAGACAAATTTGTGTTACCTTTTCTTCTTACATTAATCACTCACTTAATGAAATTATAAAACTGAGTAGTAATGCCTTTTATATTTTACCAACTGCTTCCAATTGCTGAGATAAAAGTATACATTCCCCTTAGTGGGGAAAAAATGTGACACTGACACAGAAAAAATAGGGGACTCAGAAATCAAGCAAAAAAACACTGGCTTCAATCATGAGTCTTCTGACCCTTTTCCCAGTTATCAAAAAACTCCAAAACATTTTTTACCTTCTTTTATCACCAAAAATACAATCTATTAAGGGTAATGCCAGAAATTCATAGTATATATTGTAAACAAACAGCAAGCATGTAGGGGATCTCAAATAAGAATGAAGACAGTTGAGAAAGTAATGAATAGGAGAAAAATACAAACACACATATATAAACCATAAAAGCAATATTAAAAACATGAATATTATATACATACATATTTTATTATATGTGTGTGTGTGTGTGTGTGTGTGTGTATGGAAATCTTATCATTAGTTTTTCACTTGAAAAAAGATGATAAAATCAATTTTGCCAATACTATTCAACAGGTGGATGGAGGAGTGGTGGAAAGCAGATTTAATTAGACTCAAGTAAATTAAGGAATATGCTGTATCCTGCAAATGCCATAGACAAGGGCCCCCATTCAACCTGAGATGAAATAAAGAACCTTAACACAAAGTTGATGATCTTCATCAATACTAACTCCAACTGGTCAATTTAGAAGCAAATTATGGCGGATGGTGCTGGAGGAAAGGACTTCTGGCGCTCTCTCTGGGGTCATTTAGAATAAAATCTGCAGACATTTTATATAAGCAGTATAAGAATTGAAAAAAAAAGAGGCTCTTAATCTATATGTTTCCCAGTGAATTATAAAGAAGTTACTCAAAGTTAAATCAGTGTAGGCTTAAAATGGGCCCCCATTGGTTGTGATCTTTCAAGGCAGTCATGTTGAAAGACTCACCTCCACTTTCTGCTTTGGGTTCTTCTGTGATTTCTGGCTCTCTCGTCCCATGCCCCCAACCTCACGAATGCCCTTAGTACATAAACAAACACACACACGCACCACGCACGTCTCTCACCGGGCCTTGTGGCAGGGTGTCAGCTTGGGTAAGTATATACCTGGCATGAAATGGGATGGCTACTGTTTCCCACCCTGATCATTTCATTCTGTTTCCCCAAATTGTTTTCACTTCTGCTTGGTTTCATCTGGTGTGTTTTTCACAACACTGTTCCACTATCAGAAGATATTTAGTTGGTTATACTGAGGTTTCATTCACTTTCTTCTCCAATTCTACGGTCTTGCAAAATTCCTCTAGAAACGGGAGGGCTCTACAAGTCTGTCCATGTTATTTGACTCTAGAAATTTGCTCTCAGTGCAAGAGAAGAGTGTAGATTCTTTGGGTCTTAAATATTCCTTCTTATATCTTAATTCTCAACCTCAGATACAAATTCCAAGATGCGTATCGATCTGACATAATGCATCTATCTCAATGAGAATTACTAAGCTTGGACTTTGACAAAAGGTCAGTAGACTAAAACTGAAAAGCTATCCAATACCACAATGATTGGCTGTGATGCCGAGCCTTGTTTAATGATGTGCCACCTACAAGGTCATACCAAGCAGGGGCAGTCACCCGTGTTCCCAGTTGCCGGCAGGGATACGCACGGGTACTGTGATAATAAGCACGATGGATTGAATTTCATTAAAATACCAAGGAAAACCCTCCAAAACGGTTCTTAATTAAATGGTCTCCAGCTAAGCAGCAGCCACAATGTGAACTTTCTCTACATCCCATCCCACTGAATGTCAAGTTGACTCCAAAGCCTATGGGGGGCCTTAAACTCATAACAGTGCTTCCTTATGTACATGGCTCTTTTCATATGAGATCCGTGCAGAGCTTGACAAATATCTTATTACCTCACAGTCAGTCAATTACAGAGCCGGGGAGAGAACCCAAGACTCAGGACTCTGTCACTTATGAGACTAGCTCTAGTTCAACATCGCAAATAGGCTACTGTTTATATGGGGCTTAGGGAAAATAAAGTTTGATAGAAATTCTTTGACTTCTATCAGTGTCTTGACAGCACAAAATAGTGGCTGCCCGTGAAAAACATTCACTTTCTGATTTTTCAAGAAAAAGCCATTTTCTAACTCTGATATCAACTACCCTAGTAGATTACGGGACTGAATTGTCTGATCACATGAATGCACTCTTCTGATGTCCACAGAATAATTCCTTTTCAAGTCGCAAATGAAGACGTTGAGTTTGTATTGCTAAATTTGTTCTCAACCCAACAGATGATTTATTCATCTTATGATTCCTGGATTCAGCAAACGTAAGAGGCTCTAAGTCTGGAAATTTCAGTGTCTGTATGGTTTTGTTTTTATGTCTGCTGGGTGATTTTGCACATAATATACTGATGATAGTATCAATAAAAACAGAATTTACCAGTTTCTCAGTTTGGGCTATACTGAGAGATAAATTTGGGCATTGCTAGTTTAAGATGTGATACTAATAATACTCACTTTCCTGAGTGACTTTTTAGTTTTATCTTTTAACTTAAAGAGCCATATTGTCAGTTAAATTGTCTGTATACTTCATAAGAAACTAGAAAACATGATTTACTGGGTATAAAGTTACAATAGAAAATGTGTGGTGGAAACGTTTTCTCTTTCTATGATATTTCTTGGGCAAATTCTTGGACAATTTTTAAATTGTCATGTGCATTATTATGACTATTCATGGTACAATATATGTTTGAAAAGCTGAATAACAAGTTTAGTAAGACTCTTTGCCATCCACACAGATGTAGAGAACAAACGTATGGACACCAAGGGGGGAAAGTGGTGGGGCAGTGGTGGTGGAGTGAAAAAAAAAAAGATTCTTTGTCATCCAGAGAATAGAAAAGGTGTAAGAGAAAAAGTATGTCGAAGGCAACAAAATAAAGTATGGCATCTTTTTTTGCCAAATGCCTTTGTTTTGCTTCCTGACCACATGAAACTGTGCACAGTCCATATTTGGCTACAGCTACTCCTGCACCGGACATTTTCCTTCTATTAACCCGTTATTGGTCCAAGGCTGACTCCATGTAGGATCCATCTCTGGAGCCCAATGGTGCCTTTTATGATGCTTTAATTACTAAAGTCCTCACATGTTTGTATGAATGATTAAAACTACTAAGTAGATAAAAAGGAAAATCTCTATTCAAGGACTGGCTATAAATGTCATCACTTTCCTACCATCAGCAAGTGGCCATTATGACCACATTAAACACATGGCAAAAAATAAAAATAACTTCTTAAAAATGGGTTTAGAGAAGAGAATGGACTTAAAGCACAGTTCAAGTTCCACAGCGAGGTTTTGGAAAGCCCTCTATGGTCAATTGTTCTATTTCAGATAATTTCATTTTCCACCAAAACACCTGCTGCAATGCTCACAATTTAAGGTTACTCTCACTATTTACTTGTCAACAGAGTACGTTTTTTCCTTAACTTTGCCACATTTTAGGGCTGTTAATGTTTTGAGTCCAACAAGAATATGATAAATACGAGTCACACCGAGAGTCCCCATGCCTCCATCCTGTAGGAGGTGACGTAGCAGTTCAGCGGCCTAATTTAAGTAAATGGCACAGAAAACTTAAAATGGTTACTTCCCACTTTCTCTGAGCAAGGTAAACTGAGGCATGCTGCTAGGACACTCAGAATTCCAGGTGATCAAATGAACAAATAATGGCTATCATCAAGAAGTCTACAAATAACAAATGTTGGCAAGGATGTGGAGAAAAGGAAACCCTTGTTCGCTGTTGGTGGGAATGTAAACTGGTGCAGCCACTGTGGAAAATAGTATGGAGGTTCCTCAAAAAAAAACAAAAATAGAGATACCATATGATCCAGCAATTTCAATCCTGGGCACATATCCCAGGAAAATGAAAACACTAAATTGAAAAGATACATGCACCCCAACGTTCATTGCAGTATTATTTACAATTGCCAAGGTACAGAAGCAGCCTGTGTCCATCAACAGGTGAATGGATAAAGAAGATGTGACATATGTATATATGTATACACACACACACACAAACACACACACACACACACACACACACACACACACACACACACAATGGAACATTACTCAGCCATAAAACAGAATGAAATTCTGCCATTTGCAACAAGGTGAATGGACCTAGAGTGTACTATGCTTAATGAAATAAGTCGGACAGAGAAAGACAAATACTCTATGTTATCACTAACATGTGGAATGTAAAAAAATGAAACACAGGAATGAATACAACAAAACAGACAGACTTGTAGATACAGAGAACAAACCAGTGGTTACCAGTGAAGAAAGGGAAGGGAGGAGGAGTAAGATAGGGGTATGGGATTAAGAGACACAAACTACTATGTATAAAATAAATGAGCAACAGAATATATCGTACAGAATACGGAAATATAGCCATTATTCTGTAATAACTTTAAATGAAGTATACTCTATAAAAATCTTGAATCACATGTTGTACACCTGAAACTAACATAATATTATAAAGCAATTATACATCAATAGAAAAAAATGGACAAACAAAAGTATTGCAGGAGTGGAGGAAATACCAGAATCTTATTTTTAAAAATTGTACTGGAGGGACTTCCCCAGTGGTCCAGTGGTAAAGAATCCTCCTTCCAATACAGGGGACATGGGTTCAATCCCTGGTCGGGGAACTAAGATCCCACATGCCACGGGACAACTAAGCCCACAACGCCATAACTACTGAGCTCGCGCGCCTCAATGAGAGAGCCTGTGTGCTGCAAACTAGAAAGCCCACGAGCCCTGGAGCCTACGCGCCACAACTAGAGAGAGAAACAAACCCGTGCACCACAACTAGAGAGAAGCCTGCGTGCCACAATGCAGAGCCAATGCCGGCAACGAAAGATCCCACATGCCTCAACGAAGAGCCCGCGTGCTGCAACTAAGACCCGACACAGCCAAAAAATAAGGAAATTTTAAAAGAAAATAAATAAATATAAAAAAATTATTGCGTTAAAAAATAATTTTAAAAGTTGTACTGGATAATAAGCTAGAATTTTTGTTCGACATGCCCTGGAAATTTTTATCTTTTTTATGACATTAAATTCTAGAAACAGGGTAACTTCTAAATCAAGGGATTATCTATTAGCAAATTATGCTTGTTCCTAAATCATGTAAATATAGTTGTTAACATGAGACTTCATCTCAGCATTTGCAGTTTGACTTTATAAATTGAATAAATTATATTGCAGTCTTTTCCTAGGGATCTGTCATCTCATCTTGAAAGTCTTGCTATATTATGCTTTGAAGCATGCAACTTTAAAACTGTACCTGAACCTTTTTTTTTTAATGAACTTGTTTCCCTCTTTGTGATAGAATAAAATAGCACATGGCATTTTAACTGGGAATGATGAGAGGTAAGGAATAAAAGAATGTTACCGAAAGAAACTGCAAATCAGCAGCAACCTCATAGGGATGTACTGCTAAGCAGAATTAAACTGGAAAGCCAACTTGTCAGCAGAATGAATAGGTGGATGGTCTGAATTTCAGCGCTAAGCCTTAGTTTAATTTTCTTCCTCGATAACCTTGACCACAGGCTGCGATTTCAAAGTCACTCAGTCGACTCACCTCGATAGACACCTATTTCCAAAGAAACCACATTCCTGCAACATGTTTAGTAATTATATTCATCTTGATAACATCCTTCCTGACAATTTGATCACTGATAGAACTCTCAGCCTGTGAAGGTTATTTGGATTTCCCCCCTTCCTGACCTTACGTTCTCTGACGAGGGGTCTGTAAAGCAAATACCATTTGTTATGATATCTTGGGAAACGGCCACACTTCTGTGGCAAAAATTCTTTCTTTCCTGCAGCCCATCTACGCCTGCCAGATCCGTACTCATGGAGCAGAAGTAGGTCCCTTGCCTTTTTCAACTCTGCTTATTTCCAACCCGACTTCATTAAGGTCCAGGCACACTATCTCAATT